GTGCAGCTGATCCAGGCCCCAAGGCCTCCTGGTGCAATTAGCATTTTATTAGCATTCACAGCACCCTCCCCCAATGATCAGAAAGGAGCTGAAAAGTGCTCTGCTAATCAAGATAAATCGGGCCCTGAGCGCTCAGCACAGCAACACTGGCACAGCGTAAAGCTCAGTCCCCAGGCCCCGCGCCCGGCCGGGCTGCGCTTGGCCCTGGCCTGAATGCTTTGGGCAGGAGGGAGGAAGCACTGGGTCAAGCACTGGGTCCTGCCCTCACACACACACACACGCACGCACGCACGCACACACGCGCCTGGCTCCTGCCGAGGCATATACATGCTGCGGCACGTATGAAAAGGTGAGTGCCTTTTCATGGCAGGTGTGCTGCCATACACACTGTAGCACAGACACTCTCTTTCTCATGCACACGCACACACAAACACATCCTAGCATAGATGCATGCGTGTGCAGACACATTCACGCACACACACAAACCTCTGCAGGGAGAGCAAGGAAAACTGCACAGCAAAGCAGAGATGGCGCAGGGGGGTGGGGGTGAAGGACAGAAGAGGGTACAAACTCGTTTCCTTTGCCCGTGTGTGTGTTGGGGGGGGGCACACGGCTGTGAGGCACTCTCGGGTGCACGTGTGCAGGGGCCAGGCTGTGCCAGGAGAGCGCTTGCAGGCCGTGGCAGGCGCTGGCGGCTGACGGCCGCATCTGGACAGGCTCACGTCAGCACAGCTCATGATCTAATGGGGCAGGGCTGGGGGCGCTGCAAGCAGCTGCAGCTCACGCCTCGGACAGCAGCTTGGCCCTGCTCTCCGGCAGGTGCTGCGGTGTTAGGGGGGGCAGGCTTGGCCTGGCATTACCAGAATGCTCTGCCAGCGGGGCAGCCATCTGCGCACCAGGACAGGGGTCCCCGTGGGGTCGGTCACCTGCCGCCGTCAGACCTTCCAGGCCTCCTGAGGGCCCCGCAGCCACATGGGGACACTGAGGCACACAGCTGGACCTGCCTTGGAGGGGAGCCCAGGTATCTGGGGCTCCCTGCTCTAACCACTAGGCTGCACGGATGTCCCTGAGCAAATGATACCAGGTCCCCCCAACAATGCTGGCACAGCCACCTGAATCCACATATGCAGGCATGCCCGCGGAGTGCATTGTGCACCACCCTGGCACGGGCAGGTGTCAGGCCCAGTCATACATGAAGCTGGACATGCGTGGTGGGGCATGCAGTGCCCCCCAGACCAGAGTCTCGAGGCAGGGGCGGGGAGGGAGCCTTCCCCCTCCTGGCTGCACAGGCAGAGATGGAGGGGATGCAGGAGGAGGAGAAAGCACCCAGGCAGGGCAGCAGGTCCAGCTGGGACCCCAGCTCATGGCCTGCATTGCTGGAGCTGGTCCATGGGCTCGGAGCGCCCTCGCCTGGCTGAGCAGGGACTGTGTGGCCTGCTGTCCCTGGCTGGGACAGTCCCCGGGGCAGGGACCGTGGGCACTGGGGGCAGCCAGGCCTGTCCCTGCCCTGCTACCTGGGGCGGTGGCATTGGGACCAGTGCCAGGCAGGGCCCAGCCAAGGGGTGGCCAGGGGAGGGTGGGAGGAGGCTCCCGACTCGTCAGGTGGGGCTTGGGGTTAGCGTATGGCTCGGCAAGGTCTGGGCAGGGCTGCATGGCCACCCATCCCCACCCACAAGGAAAAGTAGGGACCGCGGCACCTGGGTCCTGGTTGCCGTGCAGATGCCAGGCCACCCAGGAAGAGGAGGGCACCTGGGGACCCCAAGCAGCAGCCCCACCGTGAGTGCCCCCAGCAGACCCCGATCAGAGGTGAGCCCAGCCCCAGGACCACCCCCGGCTGCTGCCTCACTCCCATGGCTGGGCTCTCGCAGCCACAGTCGCCAGCCCACCACGATGCCCTGGCCCAGCCTGGCTATGGGGCTGCGATCCTGGGGCACCTCTGGTCCTGCCCCGCTGTGGTCGGGGGGAACGCTGCTCAGCTTTATAGACTGAGGCCTGTGATCACATATGCTGGGGCTTTATTGTTGCTGCTAAGAGGCTGCAAAGGAGACCCAGTGTCCTTCACCTGGCAGGTCTCACCGTGGTGCAGGCATCTCTCGCTGCCCCAGGGCCATGCTCTGCTTACGCCACCCAAGGATTTGACCCCCAAACCATTTAAATCAGCCCTAGGATGGACCACAGGGTGTCAAGAGACTTCCTAAAGGCCTCACGGGGAGATTGCCCAGAGCACACGGCCGCAGGGCCTCTCCCCAGGGCCCGGGACCTGCGGGGTGAGGATTGCTGTGGGGAGCGCAGGCTCCCTCCTGTCTGGCTGGGCACTGTGAAAAGCCCCCGTGAAAAGGCCTGTGCCCCCTCACTGCAGGAGAGGAAGGATTTTAGGGCTCCAGGTGACGGATGGGACAGACGGCCCCAAGGGAGGACAGCGAGGTAGAGGGATGAGGTGATGCGAGGAGGCTGTTGCGGCATTTGAGGCAAGGTCCCTCATGCCATTACTCTACTCCGGGGTCTCTGCCCGTCCCGGCACACTGAGGAACAGCCCTGCCCACAGGTGTTTCACTCCAGCCTCAGCAGCCAGCAGAGATGCATCAAGACGAGGCTATTCAGGAGCAACCCCAATGTGCTCTGGGCTTCCCACATCGCCTCTCATTGCTGCTCCCCATACAGCTCCAAGCATCCGCAGGGGTGAACGGCAGTCCTGGGGGCCCTTCCACCAGGGGAAGGTGCAGACTGAGAGGGCAAGCAAAGCCCTGGCCAGACACTCCCAAGCTCTTTCAGGGCCTTTTGGCTGCTCTCTGCTTGGATCAGTGGATGCGTTGGGCCCTCGGGGCCCTGCCGTGGTGCACGTGCTGCGGAGGTACCGGCAGGTGCCCTCTGGATTGGAGATTCACAATGTAGACATCGGCTCTCTTGCTCTGGTTGCCCTTGCAGCACGTGGACTTGTTGGCTTCCAGCTGCACGTTCTCATAGATCTCCTCATCTGGGAGATGGGACAGAGTTAGCGACTGCAGCAGGCAGTCTCGGAGCTAGGACAACCCCAGGGTCCCTTAGCACAGGCAAGTGGATGAGCAGCCGAGTGAGGCAGCTGGAGGCAGAAGCCCCCGTCCAAGGCAGCTGCCCCATGGAGAGACCAGAGGAGGGCCAAGCCGGGGGCCCGAGGGGCTTCCCTTGGACTAGCTGCACCGAGGCAAGGGGCCAGCGTGAGATCGGGTGTGCCCATAAAGGTCTGCAGCAAAGCTTTGCACAGCTGGGGAAAAATACCGGTGCCCCCTTCTCCCGCAAGGCCAACATGGCTGTGCCAGCGAGACCGGGATACCATGCAGCTCTTTCACGTGCAGCCGCCAGCATTCGGGGCCTAGGACGCTCTGATTCAAAGGCCGTGCCCCTCACCCCTGTGCTCAATAGTGACTGATGCCCCTTTCCTCAAGAACGTGTCCCATCCTTTTGTGAATCTGGCTGGACCATCAGCGCCCACCGCATCTGGTGGCATCAAGGTCCACCCTTCAATGACACGCTGGGTGACAAAGAGCTGCCTTGTGTTCATTTCAAACTTGCTACCTACTAGCTTCCTTGTCTGGGGAGACAGAGTCAAGTAAATCCCTAGGGACTTTCTCTTTGCCATTGGGCATGTTGCAAAGCCTTGCACTGCCTCGATACAGACGCCCAGGCAGCGCTGTGCTCTGTGCTCCCCCCGAACGTCTCCCATCCAGGGCAGAGTTGGGGGCCTGAGCCTGACTCATCCCACTCCTGAAGAGCTCTTCCCTGCCACTTGCCCTAGCACTGCAGTTCGTGGCAATGGGAGGACAGCACCTGCTCAGAGCAGGTGCTCCCTTGGGGTCACCCCCGGGGTCCCCCAGCCTCTTGCCCTGGCAGAACCCCCCAGCCATGCAACCTCTGCTGGGGCAGGCCAGGGCCCTGCTGATCTCCTTGGGTTCCGGTTGCTGCAGCCGTGGTGGCCCCGACTCCATTACCTGTCTTCCTGCATGTCTTCCTGCACAAGTGCCAGTGCCTGTAGCAGCAGAGACCCCCAGCGAGCAGCAGTATGATGCCCACGGCCGCTCCCCCGATGGCCAGCCACCACCACAGGCCTGCAGGAGAAGGACAGCCAGCATCAGTGCCCTGTGCCCCACACTGCACCTGCAGTCCCCCAGAGCCTGGCAGCTCGAGCCCAGGAGGAGCCTGGCCTGCCGTGTGCGGGAAAAGCCCCTTGCTGCATGAAGTGGCTGCATCCCAGTGCCATGGGCCATCCCCGGGCAAAGCCTGGTTGCATGGGGGCAGTGGTGAGGATGGCGATAGGGGTGGCGATGGCAGGGCAGTGGAGCCCCCTGGAATCTGGGAGCGACATGATGCTCCAGAAGCAATTGCAGGTGCTCTTTCTCCCCAGGCACTGCCTGGACCAGCTGCTGCCACAGGGGCCTGGTCCCAAGACAGCGGGGAGAGGTCTGGGGGCCCAGGGGAGGTAGGGAGGGCACCTCCCCAGCATCTCATGGGGCTGAGAGGGAGCGATCAGACTCTGACTCACCTGTGTAGCTCACAGCCCCTCCTGCTGATGCTGAAAGTGAAAAAGAGAGAAGCAGGCATCAGTGAGCAGCGCCACATGGTGCCCTCTGCCCCCTGGCCTGGATGCTGCCATGGGCTGAGCTGCACCCAGGCTCGGGGCAGGGTGGGGGAAGTCCCTGGGGGGCTTGGTGGGGCTGCAAGAGCTTGCTAGGGACTAGTTGGTACCCTCGTGTGAAGGGCTGGGTGCGTGGGAGCCAGGGGCTATGGGGGCAGTGGGTGAAGCGTGGGGTACCTGGGGGTGGCACTGGAGATGAGTGGGGCTGGGAGTGGACAGCAATGCCTGGAAACTGAAACTGCTGCTGGTGCACTGTGCTTGCAGCACCTCTCGCTGTGGCTAAGGTGAGAAAGGATAAGCTAAATCTACAGTCTGCGGGGCCAGGAGGAAGCCAAGCCTCCCTCCCCCCTCCTGGCCTGTCCACACTGTGGGGGTGGGTCAGTCTGAACTCCCCCCACCCCCCAACCCCAGCCCTGCCCCCTGGGCACCGAGCCCCCGTGGTCCCCCACCGGAGACATTCAGCGCAGTGCCATTCCCCACGGCCGATAGCAGGTTCGGGATCTCCACGTTCACCGAGCACTCGTAGACCCCCGTGTCCTGCTCGGTGGCATTGTCCAGGTGCATCGTCACCTGGGGCCATTGCCAGGTCAGGTTGAAGCGAGGGATGCAGCTGTGGTTGGGGTTGCTGGGCAGAAGGATCAGAGCCGTGCAGAGAGCCACGGGGAGGTCGCGCCTCTTCCACTCCAGGCGGAGCCGGCTCCATTCCTGGGCCCCGACGGCTACGTGGCATCTCATGCTGACAGAGTCCCCTGGCGGGGTCTGGCTCTGGGCAGGATCCTGGATCACTGACAGGGCCTCGGTGTAGCTGTCCTCAGCAGGAAGGAAAGCTGGGGGAGGGACAGGAGGTGACACCTCTGCAAGGAGACCAGATCCCCTCGGGGTCGGCCCCTGGCAGAGGGGATGCAACGGGCACAAGGGCGAGCAGAGACAGCGGGTAAAAGAACCCAGGAGTCGGCGCTCCCACCCCCGACACCGCTCCCACCCCTCAGCGCTTGCTCCCCAGATTAGTACTGGATTACACAAGCAAAGAGACAGGATGTCATCAAAATGTCATCCAACCACGTCAGCCATCGGGGGATGCTTCTGAGTAGGTCTGAGCCGAGGGCTGCCCGAACAGAAGCTCGGTTTTTGCATGCCAGCCCGCCCGCCGATGGCCCCCAGGCTACGTACGTCGCACTGAACGAGGAGCTGTGGTTGGGCTGGGATTTCAGGTGGAAATCCTTTTCGGGTCACCTCAAAACACACATCTCCAGCATCGGGGGGTTCTCTTGAAGGCGCCTGGGCAGGCCCCTGCCTGACCCCAAACTTTGGCAGAGCCCCTCAGTGGCAGAGACATGTGCTTTGGAGTGACCTGAACAGGATTTTGCCCTGTAACCCCAGCCTCATTGCAGGCCTTTTCCCAGGGCTCTGTGCTTGATCTATGGTATTATTTTACATTTTCATTAGTACATACACATTTTTGATGACTTGCTAACTCTTTTGCTTCCATTACTAACAAGAATTAGCTTTGAAAAAGGAACTGGGAACTGAGAATAAGGAACCTACTTCAGCCTCCTCTGGATGAGGCTGGCTCAGGAAAAGGCTGTGGATGCAGGGCCTCCAAGTCTCTGCACAAAGTGTGCAGCGGGTTGAGCCAGAGACCCATGACTCGTAGCTACAGTCATGAGTCCTGGGTGGGGTCGAGCCTCCAGAAAGCCCCAGGCAAGGAACAGGCTAAAGCTGAATGGATGGCAAAGCAGTGGGAATGGCCCCTGCCTGCAAGCCTGCTGGAAAGCATGTGGGGTCCCCCAGAGACCCCGAGAAGGAGGCACCTTCCCCTCCCCTGTCTGCCCTGCAAACATGAGCACTACCTCCAGCTCTGGGCTCATACAGCCCCTGGCGCAGAGAGGTCCCGATCCTGGTGGGCTCTCCAGAGCAGAGGGAGCAGGCAGCTCTGTGACTTCAGCTGCTGGGAGCGTGTGGAGGCCTTTGGGATTGGCCCCGAACCCCCGTGCAAAGCAGAACAAGTGTGTATGGGGGGTCCCACATGGGCAGAGAAGGGACAGGGTCTCTCTGGGACCTGACAGCTGGAGAGTCTGGCAGAGGGGAGGGGGGCACATAATTAAAAGGGCCGCAATGCCTGGCAGCTGCACGAAGGTTGCTGGGCGCCCCGGGGGGAGAGGGCAGTAAATTATCTCCAAGGAGGGGTGGAGACAACAGGCTGCAGCTGCCGGGCACTGCGAGGTGAGAGTGGGAGCAGCTGAGCCCCAACAGACCGGTCCTTCACCCCCACCCAGCTCCAAGCCCCTGCAGCCATCCCCAGCCCACCCAGTGGGCACCTCTATATATGCACCTGGTGGGGCCAGGCCAGGAGTCCCCCACCAGCCCGGTGACAGGGGCTTTCAAACTAGGGTATGGGGCAGGTTTCAGGGTGGCAAAGCCTGGCCTCTGCTGGGCACGGGGGTGGGGGCTGCTGGGGCAAAAGGCAGGAGTCCCACGGTGCCTCTTGGTACTAGCTGGGTCCCAGCCAGCTTTGGGCAGGCTCTGAGTGCCCTCTAGCTTGGCACTGCAGATTCAGGCATTACCCAGCTCCTTTCCCCTGGGAGCAGAGCCAGCCTGAGCTGCCCCAGCCCAGAGCCAAGGCCCATCAACCCCTCCCAGCAGATGCAAGGATCCCCTGAAGCAACCACCACTCCTGGCCAACCCATTCTGCTGAAACCCAGCCAGCATCAGCCCCACGTGCCAGGGGCTGCAGCAGCATGGGGCACTTACCGGGGAGGAGAGCCAGGAGGAGGAGGATGCCCCCCATCCTCTTGGGAAGCACTGCACCTTGAGCTGTACCCGTCTCTAGCACCACTCACTCCACTTGCTCCTGACCTTCCTTCCGGAGCTGCAGCGAGCACACTCCCCTCCCCGGCCACCTCTGCAAAGAGCTCAAGCTTCCTGCCACAGGACCCACGTCAGCCCGGCGCTGTCTGGTTTGTGGGGGTGCAGCCCCTGGTTCCTCTGGACTATTCCCAAAAGAAGCAACAGCTTGGCCCAGAGCAGTGTGCTCTAAAACTCCCACGGTGGGTTACGGGGAAACCAAGGCACAGAGAAGCGACTGTGAGCACCAACAAGCAGGTGCTAGGAGTCCTGGGTCCCAGATCAGTGCTTGGGCCGCGCTTCTTCACCAGCTGGCACAGACACCCAGCACTTGGCTACCAGCCCACTGCCCAAGCCCCGTGGCTTTTCTCCTCTTTCCTGGCTCAGGGGAGCTCCAGCTCACCCCTGCTCCCACCAGTACCCCTTGCTGGAGGTGGCTGGGACTGGACAAGCCGTGCCCGCCCCCCGCAAGCCAGTGGGGCCCTTCTAGCAACTCCCAGTACAGCTGCCCCGTCCCAGCCAGCCCTCGCTGGGAGATAGTGGGATCCACAAGAGCTCCCCAAGTCACCCCTTTCAGCCCATCAGCCCCAAGTGCCAGAGGCTGCAACAGCCGACAGCTTTGCTGATCTTCAAGGGCTCTGTAAGGCCACAGGCCGGTGTGGGTGGCTGCATGACCTCAGGGCTCAACGTGAGACAGGAGGTGTTAACCAGAGTAATGAGCAAGTTGAGGAAAAAGATGCTCGAGCGACAGGAGTTTCCTTTCCTCCAGTGTAGGTGCATTCAGCAGACACTGCACTCTTCTGCATTTAAATATGCACTAGTTCCCTTGCACGCGACTCCTGCTCCCCATCTGTTCGGGGTCTCGGTGTGCTGCGCAGGGCTAGTCCAGTCGTTCAACAGTCCTTTAGCCCGGTGGTTCACAGCCTTTTTTTGCACCAGGACCCATTTGTATACATGGATGGCCAGTCCCGACCCAGTAAATACTTTAAGTAGAAAACAGCCCCCTGGCCCTGCTCGTGCCCCTCACTCCTGACCTGCTGCCTCCTGTCCCCAGGCCCTAGCCCCCAGTGTGTGAGGCGGGGATGTGTGTGGCATAGGGGGTCACATGCCCCCCGGATTTGGTAGAGCTGTAGCCTGGCACTTGAACAGCAGGCAGCAGGAGGAGGCGAGGGCAGCGAGGCTCCCCCCTGCCTGTTACTCTTTGTGCAGCATTAGCCCTTTTAGTCCCACCTCCCCTTGGCCCCAAGCTGTTTCTGCTTCACGGGAGCAGACCCTGGCACTTTAGGGTTACAGACGGAGATATCGTGGGAGGGATTGAGGCGCCCAAACTCACCACAAGCCCCGGTGCCTGTTCCTGGCAGCCGTGTGTGCTCACCACAGCTCCATGCTGGGCTGGCACCAATGCAAAGCTGGGGCACCAGGGAGAAGTGGAAACCACAGCTGCGTTGTGCCCAGTCAAGGCCCCATGGGGTACAGTCAGCACCACTGAGAGGTGGCACCTTGCCCATGGCCTGCCCAGGTGGAGAGGATGTGCCAGGACATAGAGATGCTGCCCTGTGCCCCTGATCTGCAGTTCCCTGCACCAGGGCAGCCCCTTCCCGCGCCATCAGCTCTGCCCACTGTGCTGGGCTGTCCAGGGTGGGAGAGGGAGGGAAGGGACCTCTCCCAGCCTCATAATAATCCTTAGGGATTATCAAAATGGGAACTGGAAACAAAGTGGAAAGTATCGTCACAGCCCTTTATAAATCCATGGTGTGTCTGCACCTGAAATCCTTGCCCTGTCCTGGTCCTCGCCCCTCAGACAGGAGGCAGAAGAACTAGAGGATGAACACAAGGCAGCTCTTTCTCACCCAGTGTGTCATCGAGGGGTGGGACTCGTGGCCGCCGGATGCGGTGGGCGCTGACGTTTCAGCCAGATTCACAAAGGGGTAAGACATGTTCTTGGAGGAAAAGGGCTTCAGATGCGATTGTGTGGGCGAGTGAGGGGCACGGCCTCTGAATGAGAACTTCCTAGACCTTAAATGTTGAAGGCTGGGAGGGGGAGAGGAACTGGTCAGACCCAGGTCACCCTCTCTTGCAGCCTCTGCCCCCATGTGACACAGGCCTATGTGGATGCGTAGGGTTATTGTGGGCTTGACACCCGGGGAGCAGTGATTAGACACCTGTCACTGGGGGCAGGGCTATTAGGCACACATCAATTGATTTGTGGGGACAGCTAGAGAGAAAACAGGAATGGGAGCGAGGTCATAGGTTTAAAACGAGTGTATGGAGGAGAGCCCGCCGGGCAGTGCCCCGTTGTCCTCGAATGAAGCCAAGGAAGCAGTGGGTGTTGCTTGGTGAAACTGTGCCCAGAGACATGACCCAAGCAGGGGCAGGAAAACGGCTCTGCAGCACCCCAGGGTCCCGCGACCAGAGCCTCCTCCTGGTCAGGTCGGTGGCCAGCTCGGCCAGGGCCAGAAGGAGGCTGACCAGGAGGTCCTGGGCTGTGGTGGGGGCACGGACAGGGAGTGTCTCACTAAAGGGGTGAGGGGCATATTGCAGCCAGACCCTCAGCAGGAGGCTGTGGAGGCGGCAGCAGCCTGGCGCACTCCAGGTAGGCACGTGCCAGGGTCTCCCTCTGCTCGCAGAAGGGGGCAGGTGTCAGGGGTGTCCATACTCTGTGCAGATG